CCAGCTCCTATGAAACCCAACAGGGATCTAACTGGGGTGAGCTGCTCACTCCCACACCTCCCCTGCCAGAGACAACCTCCCTCTGCTGTCACCGCTTATAGAACTCTCTCCTTTGGTGGCCACCTTTTGGTCACACTGATGTTGGGACTGCCCATCCCCTAAGCTTGTCTTCTTTGGTCAAAGTCCAGGGGATGAGAGTGCTCCCTGAGTGAGGGAGGGGAAAGTTGAGATTATCAATGGAGTAACCTCACAGATAAACTGGAGTCTTCCATTCTAAGAAGGGGGCCAGGGACTGGGAATGGAGTGGTTTTTCTTTTCTTCCTCTCCCTCAGTAGAACACCTTCTCTGCTCCTACATAAGATGCACCTCTCACCCTGCCCCATACTTCCACCGGTTCCACGAGCCACTGAGCTGGTTATGCCAGGGCTTCCATCTCTTCTCCCCCATCACCTCATCCAGAAGGGCTTATATCTGAACTATCACCCTCCCTCCACAAATTGCACACATATTTTTTCGATCAAGCCCACTTGCCAATCTTCCTTCACCCTACATACAGGAAGGGTCAGGAAGTTAGGACAAATTCTTTCTCTGTCCCATGGTGCACCACCCTCCACCCCAAAGTTTCTTTGGAAACTCTGAGGCAAGTCAGGTGACAAGTGACACTGGCACCCCCTGTGTACTGCCAGGGCCCTCAGCACTCTGAAGAGCTGAGGAAGGGGAAGACCTGAGAAAGCAGAGCCACTGAGACGCCTGTGAGGAAAGCTGACATTCAGAAACAGGGAGGAACAAGCCATGTGGCCTTGGAGGCCAGCGACTGGGCACCTGAGTCTCGTGAAGGTGACTGTACATGTGGGAAGGTGACTGTACATGTGGGAAGGTGACTGTACATGTGCGGGAAGGAGAAGACTAGAGGGTACGGGGTGCCCTAGAGGAAAGCCAGCTTAGCCAGCTGCCTTGGCCTGCAGCCTCCCTCCCCCCAAACCAAGCTGGGAATAAATGGCTGGATCAGGTGACTTAGGAAATTCTTTTCTGCTTTAACTTTCCAAGTTTAAAAGGTATAGTCGTCTGGGACTCAGAAGCCCTTCACCCAACCTTACCTACTCACGACCACCTCAGGAAACAGGGTTTCTCTCTCTAGGAGGCCAGAACTCAAGCTCTTTTTCACTATTAATCAACCCATCAATAAAAGCAGATTGTGGGCAAGGTAACCTAGCATTCTCCCCACCTGGCAGGCAACTTGTCCCTTCCTCCTCCAGACTCAAAGCCCCCACAGGAAAGCCAGAATAGAGGGACTGGGAATATATTTCTCCCTGTCCCTGTCCTTTCATGGCCCCACCGGTCCTCCTGGAGCTAAGTGATCTGCTTGGAGATTCCCTTGGGGCTCAGGGACTCCCTTTCCTGGCTAGTTTCGGGCAGGGCAGTAGGAAGAGAAGACAAGGGTGGCTTTAGACTTAGGGAATCCACTGGTCTTATCCCTGGCCTAACCCTCTAGGTTCCAAGGCTCCTGAGCTCCAGGAGAAAGGGAGGGGCAGAGTCGGGCAATGGTGTAACCAGGTGACCTTGGGACTATCTAAGAGGCTATAAAATATACCTTAGGGCAGCAGCAGGGGAGGGGACAGCCCTCCTTCCTGTATACCCTCTCCCTCTGCCCCCACCAAAGGCTTCCTTACCCTTGCCCTGCACAGGGACGCTGAGCAATGGTGGAGATAATGCCCTGCAGCTAAGCACTAGTGTGACCCCTGAGAGTGATCTTGCTGGGCAAATCCAGGGAACATGATGGAAATTTCTCCTCTTCTTCCCCCATGCTCCATCCAACATGGCCAACTTCGTTTCATTGGTCTCTGAGCTCCTGCTGCTCCCAACTCTGCTCCCAACCCCACTTTAAGAGGAAGCCCGAGTTCCATTTCTAGTGCTTTGTCCCCCTCAGGGCTCGCATGTTCAATGCCTATTTCGCCTCCTCAGTCCCACCTAGGACAGTCAAATTGGAGAAGGGTCTATCTATGAACACCCCAGTGTCATTCCTTTATGCCCACTGGGTAGGGGGTTAACCCTCAGATTTGGGGGTGGAGGGGGGACTAGCCCGTTTGTTTTTGTTTGTTTTCAGAAAAACCACTCCGACCTCAACCCCAACCTCAGACTCGGGTTAAAAAAAAAAAGATCACCCACATAACCTCTAGCTTCTGCTCATCTGGCTGACCAGCCACTTTCCTTGGTTTTGTGGGCTAAGTCTGGGGACCAGAGAAAGCAATCCAGTAGCCAACGTAGCCACTGAGTCCAGAAAGCTTTCTTTCCTTCTCCCTGGCAGCCTCGCCAGCCGGATCTCTGGTTCCCCTTTCTCGAGCCTACCCGAGCCGGCAGGTAGGAGGGAGAAAGATGCCAGAGGTTTGGTACAATGGGGTAGGGACTGTTCCTTAAACGGCTCTTTAAAAGAGGGCATAGCAGAGGCCTGCCTTACTAGGCATCACCTTGTCCCTAAACCCGTGGCAAATGGCCCGGGGGTGGCAGGCAAGTCAGGGTAGCGTCCCAGCCCGACTCGGGCCACTCCCCCTCCCCCACCGGGACCGGACCCCGGCGAAAACGACGCCTCCCAGGGCACTCCGCTCCCCAGCCAGGACTTACCTCTATGTTGCCTACGGTGCGGGCACAACCCACCACCTTCAGTCCCTGCTGGACCAGGGCCCGGGCCACGGCCGCGCCGATGCCCCCCGAGGCGCCCGTCACGAGTGCGAGTCGGTCGCGCCACCGCTCCATGCCGCCCCGGGCCATC